TTGCCACTAGTTTCAGGGGGTTCTTAGAGTCCCTAGAAATCCATCTCTGGGTCGTTTGAAAACCTCACCTCAGGGTACCTCATTGATGTGGGAAACTTCTACTTACGTACATTTGTAGGCATAGACATTAAATCTTTTTGGAGAGTTCTCTAAAATCTATCTTGAGGATTATTTTAAAAATAATATCCTTGGTCTCAAAGGCATAGTCTTTGGAATTTTTTTTTAAGCTAAGCAAACCGTTAAACACCTCCATTGCTACTTAAAATACCAAATGGGTGACTACGTTTCCACTTTTTCTTGGCAAAGATTTTCCTTTAGGATCTGTAGAAGAGTTTATGGTCACCTGAGGATGTAATGATTTTCATTAAGGGATTAAATTCCTTTACTTCGTGTAATAAAATCCTGACATACTTGAAGACTGGCAGGAGGTAGTAGTATTCTAATTGAATTTTCAGTTAACTCAGTATTGACCAGATGATTTTACACTGAAAATCTTTTCATACTCAAGATGAATTGGAACTAAGCACTGTTTATAAGTTAAATGTTCAGCCATACACCAAAGAACGAAAACAAAAATGTAAGCTTCCATTTTCCTCACTGTGCACTAAACATTCTAGGAATCTGATTGTGTCTGTCAGTTTGTACACTGTGTAAGAATATATGCATTTCTTTTGTAGCCACGTCATGAATATTTTAATGTCCCTGTGTACTAAATGACTACTCGTCGTGTATGCAGAATTTCACAGAGGAAATAGAGAGCTGATATACTTATGAAAGAAAATATCCTCAGCTTGGTGACTATCTTGTACAATAGATCATTTCAGAACCAGTACCTTTACGATTGTAATTGTTTTTCCCGTCCTCATTTTTCTTTTTCTGTTTTATTTTCATTCTGTATGTGATCTTGATGTAGTTTATTCCTGCTCACAGCTGGTATAATTTCTTCTTGAAATATGACCTATGAATGTTTTGAGTAGTTCATCTTAAAGACATACATGTCATCATTTATGAACCATCTATGATTAAAATCTTGTAAGAAAAATTTAGCAATCGTTAAAATGTTCACCAAAGAAAATATAGCGGAAACGCCACGGCAAAATAAGCAGTGCCATGCCATGACATATAATGTGGCTTGGTCTTCAGATGTTCGGGGGAGAAAGGAAATTCTATTCAGTGTGACTATTTTACAGCCTCTGTGAGCTACCGTATTCTAATGTATCACATAAAAGTGTACTTGGAAGTAATTTGAGAGAGTAAAATCTGTACTGTTACGTAATATTTAAGGGTAAAACAGTCACAGTTCTTAAGTTTGTGATGCCACATTTATTGATCACATTTGTGCTATACAGTATTGAACAGTCCCTTTAAGACACATCAGAGAAAGCATCAGAAGTGACTTCTGCAATATATATTGTTCAGTAGGAAGTAACCTTTTCAAAATGTTAATACTGAGTTCTAAGACTCAGTTTAAATACTAATATTTTACTATAGTTTTATAATATCTATTAAGTCTCCATTTAAATACTTAATGCTTTGTTAACTATGGTATTATACTCTAAATATTAAGACTTTTAATATGACATGCAACTTATTTTATTATAAAAGGAAAAGTACCAAATAATTCAGCGTTTCTATCTAGAGAGTTTAAAGCCTGATTACAGAAGCTATCTTAAGGCATCAATAAGCAAATTCCGAAGTCACTCGAGCAGGTTCACTGCTGACGGAAGACCTATGAAAATGTAGACTAGGCAGGGACGCAGAGCAGTTCTTTCGGGTCCCCGGGTCCTGCAGTACGTGGCAAGCACCTGGATGGGTTAGCAAATGAGAAACTTGGCATTCGCCCTTGAAAGCATTGGGAAACACGGGTCTTTCATTTCCATTTTTGTCCTCCGTCCCTCCCCCACCCTGCAATATGTCATTCATCTGGTTTTACTGCTGAATATGCACTGTCTCATGCCTGTTTGCTTTGGATGCGGTGTGCTGAGCTGTAACAAGATGTTGCTTCTTTTATTCTTTGTATACAGCTGCTTGCTTAAAATTCGTAGATTCTGAAATTGCTTTTCTTGCACGTCTCAAATAAAAGTATTGCATGTACTTTGTCTCATGTGAATGACTTTTTTCTTCTTCATCCCTTTTGACAAATAATCTATTTTATATTTTGGTTTTTCCAGGTAATTTTATTAGGTCGTGTTTAAAAAACCCTAAAGTGGTTAATCTGGCAAATTTTCTTAAGTGTACAGTTCAGTACTGTTAAGTATATTCACAGTGTTGTGCAACTGCTGTCCAGAAATTCCTCCTCCTGTGAAACAAACTGTACCCATTAAACAATTCTCCATTCCCCCTCCCCTCAGCCCTTTGTAACCACCATTCTACTCTCTTTCTATGAATGTGACTACTTTAGATAATGGTTTTTCCAGGTAATTTTGAGCTACAAGTTCAGTGTCAACATGGGAAAATTACATTTGATACTATGAACACAATTTGTAAAAAAAAAAAAAAAACCAAACCAAAACTAATGTACTGTTTGTAGAGCACTCCAGAAATAATATGTGCAGGTGGTTCCTTTAAACCAGGCCTTTTAGAAAGGACACATTTTAAATAATGCATATTTGATAAGTAACATGGTTCTCTTCATGAGATGCCATATAGGATTGCAGGCAGTGAGCACGGGGAAATCTGACCAGCTCCACGGAACGGAATGGGAGGCATTTTTACACGGATAAGCGAAGAACGCTAACTGTATAGAATCCAGTGTAGGCATCTATTAATAAATGCATTGAAGGTTGAATAGTGTTTTTAAGAATTATTAACAATACAGTTGACCCATGAACAATGAGGGGTTTAGAAGCACTGACCCCCCCCCCCCACGGTTGAAAATCCACATACAACATTTATCTCCCCCAAAACTTAATAGCCTACTGTTAACTGGAACCCTTACCAATAACCTAAACAACACATCTTTTGTACATGTATTATATACTTTATTCTTACAGAAAAGTAAGCTAGAGGAGAAATGTTAAAATCATAAGGAAAATACGGTAAAAAGTCTGCATATAAATGGACCTGTACAGTTCAAATCTGGCTTTGTTCAAGGGTCAAATACAAATGATTATATTGTTTCCTTTATTTAAGATGTATGTGATTCAGATTTCAATATATTTCATGTTTAAAGCTAAACATGATACAGAGACTGGCTACATTGTTCTTAGGGATGTTGCATCTTTTTCATTAGACTTTAAAAATTCTGAGACTTGCAAATAAAACAGGAGAAGGCACCTTCATGTGCACATCACCCAGCTTCAACACCCATCAACTCAAAATTCATGGTACTGTGCTTTTGTGTCATCCATTGCACCCCCCACCCCATTTTGGTTCAGGGTTTGAAAGCATGTCCTGTACGTCATTTCATCCCTAATGCTTCAGTATGTATCACCAAGAGATGGAAGTACCACACCCTCCAAAATTAACAGTAACTCCTAATATCTTGTTCCTGGTTTAATTTTTCCTAATTACCTGAAAATTGCATTTCTATAATCGGTTTGTTTGAACCGGATTCCCAACAAGGCTTAACACTGTATCTGGCTGACGTCTCTTTAAGTCATTTCATCTTTAACAACTCTTTTTTCCTTGCCATTTTTTTTTTTAACAGTCACTCATGCTGTAGAATGTCCTTCATCCTGTATTTGGTGGATCGTAATCCTGTGGCAATGTTTAACTTGTTTGCCTGTCCCCCATATATATTTTGATAAAGCCTGGTTAGGCTGAGGTTTCATGGGGGTGGGGCGGCAAGGGCAAGAATACTTCATTAAAAAACCTTTTTGTCACCAAAGCCAATTTTTACCCATTTTTCACTAACCTACTAAAAGGTCATCATGTGAACTTTATACGGAGAGCTGGTTTATAATACTTTATTTAGTACTGAATGCTAAATACCTTCCTGTAGGGTAGGTCTCAATCATGTAATGTTATCAGTTAACATTTTTTGAGCACTTTCTAGAAGTAAGGCACTAAGCCTTCTCTCCCTTAAATGTCTATGTATGAAGGTAAGTACTGTGATCCTTGTTTTCCAAATAAGGAAACAGGCTAGAGTTTAATTTATTTACGATTACTCCATATAATGCTTTACATACAATTAAATCTAATGTATGGATTTATGGTTTAATATTTTTCTTTTCCTTGTTTTGTGCTGTACCACAATTAGGATGCAAAAGTAAGTTACTTTATTATTGGATACTAAAAATTGCATTTTCTCCATTAAATTGTCATATGCCTTTTAATGACAAAATTGTTGCAAGAAATACCTGAATTTGACCTGGTCCTCTTTTGTGATGTGCAAAATCAGCCACTCTGGAAAATTTTCAAATAATTTTTTCTAGATATGCTTGCTTTGTTTTGTCTTCCTTTAACATTTAAAAAATGAGTTATTGCTTGCCCCCCACTGAAGCCACTGGTTGCCACGGGGTGGGTGTGGGGGAACCGGCTGCAAAGGTGAGTTTCTGAAGCCCTGCTGCTGGGGAGAGTAAAGTAAAAAACTGAGTAAAAATGCAGAGGAAGACATTTCTATAAATACATGTGACCAAAAAAAACCATAGAAAACCAACTTATGTGAAGATTCAGAAGAAGAACTCGGGGTTTTTCCTGCTTTTTATTTAGGGGAGACTGAATTTTAACACTAAGGTAATTACCTTTCCTGTAGCTAATTCGATAGCAATGATTTCCTAAATTGCCAGTGGGTTTGCCTGCTTTTTGTGCGACAGCAGTGGTGCCCAGCACACTGGTAGGTAATCAGTAGGTATTTAATGCATGCTGAAAATATCCTTCTGTAGCCTCTGAGCTTTGGGGCACAAAACCCTAAATAACCACTGCTCTCAACATCAGAATGTGCCCACATGCCCTGCTGCTTGCACTGTTCTCTAAACTTGCACATCCTTCCGTGTCAATTTCCCATTCTCAAGCCTCCCCGGATCTGCTTACCAGAGTCTCACATTTTCCCTCCACAGGAAGCTGAAACCCCACGTAGTGTTCTTGAAGAAATTGGACTGACATAACTCTCCTCCCTTGTTGATGACTTCTTGTGGCATTTCACACACTGTAGATGGTCACTGCCTTCATGTCCATGTTAGCTAATGGTATAAGATGACGTCTTGTCAGTATTACTGTTTTGCTAAAGCTGCTTCATTCAGGCCTACACAATTTTTTTTTAAGGGAACTTTGGTTAATCAAGGGATAAGGAATTTAAATACAAATTAGAATGATGCAGAAAAAGAAAGGTACCTTTTCTGGATATTTTAAAGTTTATAGAATCTGTTTCTCTCAATCTGATCATGTATCTATGAGAATAACACACAATCAGGCAATATACATTAATTAATCACCGTCTTTGGCAAAGGCAACTGTTAAATTAGAATATGAAACCTGGTTTTATGAAACCAAAGACTAGCGTGTAGCATTTCAGTATATATGAGAATAAAGGGAACTGATACATATCAAATGAATTAAAATTTAACTGTTGAGACTTTAAGAAAAAAAAAAAGAACCAAATTTATACCAAAGATCCTTATTGGAAACTATATACTTAAAAGGGAATACACAAATGACTAAATTGAAATGATGTGTTTTACACTAAAATTATTTCTCCGGCATTCCAAACCGGGGACGAGGAACAGAGGTTGTTTAATAGTGAGCATGTTATGTTTAAAGCTAAGGAACATTCAACTCGAGACAGATTTTTTTGTGGTCATAACCATTTAGTGACTTAAATGGTTTTTTGATGCCCCCAAGTAAAATGGAAAGACTGACCTACCAGAATTCTTCATAACAGTATCTTACGGAAAATGTGTTCTCGTCACAAAGTGTTGCCTAAGTCATTGTTTAAAGCACGAATATTACTCCTGGGGTGCTTTTGCTTCCCTCCACTTGTAAGTGCTGCAAACTTTAGGGCAGCTTCCTTCCCTTCCATGGCACTGCCTAGTTAGCAGAAATGTTAAAAAGCAGACACCACCTTTCATGTAAAATTGAGAGTTGAATGAAGTAAAATGGCATTAGTGGGCCCTATGTTTTCTTAAAGCTATACAATTGTTTCAGTGTCACTTTTATACATACTTTAATGTATGTAAACGTATCTTCATGATTTATACTTTCATTTGTATCTGCTGGGCTGGATTAAGCTTTGTTGTGATTGTGACCAATACATTCAGGCCATGTTAGCACTGTCTTATCACATCACCAATTAGTTGTAATAAATGTTCAATGTACACCACTGTAGTGTGTTTTTATCTTTCTCTTTACAAAAGTCTGTCAAACTATGGGGAGCTGCTGAAAGAATTTTAAAGTTTTTTCAGTAAAATGTTGAAAATTCACCTCCATTTGAAGGTGGTTGCTAAAAGCACACACGAGATAAATGATGGAAGATGTAAGGAGTTTTCATGTACTTTGAGCTCACTAGGAAATAATGTGGCTTCCACGCTGAGAGCTTATCTACACATTTATTTTCAATCAATAAATGCCGCTTTTAAAACCTTGATGCAGTTGACGTTTCTACTTTCTGAATTAGCAACTCTGATTATTCCAGGTAATCAAAGGCATTGCAAATCAACCAGCTCCCCAACCCACGCCTCCCCCCCCCCCCCCCGCACCTGGAGGTGCTCACGGAGTGAACCGGTATCAGCAAACTACCGCCTAATATAAGCAGCAACTCAAAACTGGTCATGACAGTTAAGGGACCTCCTAATAACTGCAGATGGGGGGGATCCCTGGGTGGCGCAGCGGTTTGGCGCCTGCCTTTGGCCCAGGGCGCGGTCCTGGAGACCCGGGATCGAATCCCACGTCGGGCTCCCGGTGCATGGAGCCTGCTTCTCCCTCTGCCTGTGTCTCTGCCTCTCTCTCTCTCTCTGTGTGTGTGTGTGTGTGTGACTATCATAAATAAATATTTAAAAAAAAATAACTGCAGATGGGAAATGCTACATATTAAAGCGAGGATAATAAAGAACAAGGCATCAACTACCATCAAGTTTCTAGTCATAAAAAGATACTTGCAGACCTGGATAGTCTCCAACACTCAGCTGGCTTATTCAATGAAAACAGGCCTGATGGGCTTCTGCTGGCACTGTAGAGCTGGAATTTTAAAATCATAAATAGTAATCAGGTTATAAGTTTAAGAAACATTAATAACTTTAAGTTAAAATGGACATTTATCAGGATAATGAACCAGTCAAGTGGTTTAAAACTTCTCTGCCGTCCCTCCACACCACAGCACCCATGAACACTGGAGGGAAGAGACCCCATTATCTCATAATTACCTTGAGCACAAGCTGGTGTTTATCCTATTTTGTCCTCCACGACCTATGAAGGCTATTCCACTTGGAATACCACCTTTAATTACGTATATCTTGGCTGTATTTAGGAAAGTAATGGAAAATACTGGATACCATGTTATTCAGCATTAGTGAATCCAGTAGGTAATTACAGAAATTTTTCAAACATTTTTAGGGTAAAGCTGGCATTTGAAGTTGAACAAATCAATTTTTAAAGTAAAGTGATTTCTGGACCATACTTCCTTTTACAGATTACATACTAAAGAACTCTCATTTTCAACAGATAACCACTCACTCAGAAATCCCAATCTTGAAATTTCTTTCCCTGTCAGCTTCAGTACTTTGTGCATCCTTAAGCCCTTACTTCCAAATCCCAAGTCACCAAATGCCATATACTCTGAAAATCCAGATGTCCAGTATGTCATTAGGTTATGAAGAAAATTAAAAATGTATGAGAGCATCTTTTTTTATGATCTGAAATCTAAGAATAATTTTTACCTTAAGTCCTTTTTTCTTCAAACAAGTTTCTCTGACCACTTTTTTAAAATGAGAATTGCTTTAACACAGGCAAATTCAGTAGCAATGACCCTAATTTTCCTGAAAATGACAAAAATAAGACTTACCTCTATATAAACAGCTCCCCAACACACTAAAAAAAAAAAAAAAAAGACGACACCCCTAATGGAAAACCTCCAGCTGAGAAGGGGCTGTGAATATGGGACAGGATGGAGAGAAAATAAACCGACTTTACCCTTTCAGTGCTTTAAAACAATCTTTTTTTAAAAAAACAAAAAACAAAAAAACTATCCTTAGTTTTTTTTTTTTAAGATTTTATTTATTCATGAGAGAGAGAGAGAGAGGCAGAGACACAGGCAGAGGGAGAAGCAGGCTCCATGCAGGGAGCCTGACGTGGGACTCGAACAAGGGTCTCCAGGATCAGGCCCTGGGCTGAAGGCGGCGCTAAACCGCTGAGCCACCCGGGCTGCCCGACAAAGGGAATCTTAAAGTCAAAAAAGCTGCTCAGCTACTGCATGTAGAAAAGCCCAACAGATTAATAATAAAGAGCAAACAACCGAACTTAAGAGCCATTAAATACAGAAAAAGTGTCAGGCTTAGCCAATACATAGAGAAACAAACAGTCAAACAAAATTTACCAAATCAAAGATTAACTTGGTGGTGTGGGGATAGCAAAACTTATGATGGATAGAGTACATTTTTGTTAGCCTTTCTGGAGGGCAATTTGGAAACGTCTCAGGAGTCTTATCTCTTGGTGTCATAGAACTGATCCTAAGGAGATGGTCAGAAATGTGTGAAAGTAAGGAAATCCACAACCGGACAGTTTATAGCACTGGACTCTTTAATAGTGCAAAATCAAAGGTAACTTTAAAATCCAACAATAGGGGTATGGTTGAATTAATGGATAGGTCCACGCGCAGTGAGAAAATTAATGAGAGACTTGATGAAATAGGAGGTTCTGTGTAGGAAAAGCAAAGCATATTCAAGTGCAGCCATATATGATCTTGGTGTTAAAAAAATGTGTACACACGTGTAAGAGAAGGAAAAAAGACGCAAGCAATGCTCCAGTGTGAACTTTATTGCTAAAGGTTAGGATTACAGGGGATTTTCACGGTTTCTGTGCATTTGATGTTGCCTAGGCTTTCTATTCTATTCTAAACACACTGATTATCAGAGAAGAAAAGTATCCTGAAGTGGGGTTCTGGCGGACGGTGTACAATCAGTTACGAATAAAGTAAGTTTATTTGCATTTGGGACCCTGAATCGTTCAGTCTCTGCTGCCTGACCTCCTCCTGCCTCGACTCCTGGACCTAGAGGAGCTCTGGCTCCGGCTGCCCCGGCCGCGGCTGCGGCCCCTCTTCCTGCCTCGGCTCCGTGAACTGGGCCCGTCGCGGCTCCTCGACAGGTGTTTGTGAGACTTCTTCCCCCGGTGGCTGCTCCTCCTCTTCCTCTCGGCTTCCCCGTTTCTCTTGTAGGAGTGGACCGGGCTGGGGCTTCTTCGCCGCCGCGGCCTCCCATAGTACTCATCGTGGTGACCCATCCTCTCTCTCCTCTCCAAGCCCTTCCCAAAGGATGAGCCGGTCCGATCAGGAGACAGGTAGATGTCTCTGTTAGCTTCCCAAAACTCATTGTTGGGATTTCTGAACACATGAAGAAAGTTGCAGTGTTTTCCTCTTGGGCACTGGTGTATTTCAAATAAACCTGCAACGGCACAGTGAGGAAATAGCATTTACTGCTGGCCCTTTATCCGGTTTAGAAGGTACACCGCCGACGTTCGGACGTGACAGACCTATCTCCTCCTGCGTATTATTTCAAAGCAGCTTATGTAAATTGATGTCATAGCTCTGGTGCCCAGAACTGCAAAAACATTCAAACGCTCTAACAAACGGCACTGTGAACGGTAACAAAGCAGAAGGTGTTCATTAAGCCGAGTATCCCGGTCCCCGACCGGATGGATGAGGGTGTGGAGTGCGACCGACCGAATGCATGGTGACCACATCGGGGGGTTTTGAGGGCTCCACCGTCCCACTGATAGACGGTGTAGATCCCTAATTCACACCGAAGTGCCAGCCCCTGGGAGTCCCGGGACAGCGCTCGGACAGCGTGCTGGTGGCAGGACAGCTACTGGCCAGAAGGGAGCCCTATCAGAAGTGGAGGACTTTGTATTTTTTCTTTACACTTTAAGGAGAAAATGGTAAACATTGGCCTCATGCTCTTAAATTTACCAAGTGGTTTTAGTACGGAAGATTTTTGTCACAGGTGAAATCTACTCGAACAACTTAGTGGTCCTCTTGAGGCTTTCAAACTTTTTTTTTTTTAAAGTTCGTCAATTCCCCAAATATGTAAAATGGTCAAAAAAAAAAAAAAAAGCGAAGTACCTCCACACCACACATTATATGCGAAAACTCAAAATCGATCCGAGTCCTAAATGTAAGACATGAAACCGTACAACTCTTTGAGGAAGACATACAAGTAAAATCTTCATGACACTGGGCTGAGCAATGGATTCTTGGGTATGACACCAAGAGTACAGCAAAAAAAAAAAAAAAAAAAAAAGATAAAACATATTTCATCAAAATTATAGACTTCTATACTTCACAGGACATCGTCAAAGTGAATGGGCAACCCACAAAATGGGAGCGAATATCGGCCAATCATATCTGCAATAAGGGGCTTCGACAGATGGAAGAGTAAAACCCCATGGTAAAAGGACAACCTAATTAACAAGGGGCAAGGTATCTAAATAGGCCTCTCTCCAAGAAGGACACACGTATGGCCAATCAGGAGGACACACCAAAGACACTCAACATCATTAATTACTAGGGAAAGTAGCAAAGTTGTTATTTTAAAAAAACAGGTGAAAGAGTCTCCTGCTTTGGGGGAGCCGGTGTCACACTCGGAAGCACCTCACCGAAAGGGCACGCCGCGTTCCCATGAACTGACAAAAATAACCGCTGGCAGGGAAACGCCAATTCCAGCTCTTTTAGCCCGCAAGCTCTCAAACCTCAGACATCATGGTTCTTCTGCTCTCCAAAGCAAGGAACTCTAAATTCTTGTTTTGCCCCCTTCAATAAATGGTTTTTAAGTGACGGCATCCATTAAGATCAGGCTGCCAGAGATAAAGCCTTCATAAATTATGGATTTTGTTTAATGAGAGGTTTTAAGCAGGCAAATGTAAAGCCAAGAAAAGTAAAGTGTAAGAGAAGTGCTCCCCTAAGGCCTGGATGGTTTCATCCCTGTTTCCAGAGGAGTTCAACGATAAATAGTTTGGCTGAGCTCGTCTGACGGAAATAAAAAAATAACAAGGCCTTGAGAATTGCTGGCTACTTAGAGGACTGACTCATCTCTGGACTCGGCGGCCACAGTCTGATGAGTCAGCCTCACTGCGCCCTGGCCACACCCTACAGCTACAGCCAACCTCTACTGCGCAAAACATGTCTTTCAAGCCAGGCAGGAAATGCCATCATGTTTTAAGGTGGCAGGGATGACCGAAAATTCACGAGGGATAAAGATACGGGAGAAAACCCAGTTTGCATGAAGGGAGCCCGTGAGGAGAGGTCATCTCTGACGTGGCCACAAGGAAAAGGCAGCTTCTCGCAAACACAACTCAGGCTTCCTGAAGTCTGAGGGCTCGGGATGAGGATGAGATGGTGGGAATTCTAGCCCCAACTCCGTCACGGAGACGCCGTGAC